TGTCCATCCCCCGCATGCTGGCCTGCCTTCTCTGAACCTGACTATAAATAAAAAACAAGACTGTCTTGGGTCGGGGCTGCACTGTCTGGCATAGTCCTTCTAGGCTTCTCATCAAAGCCCAGTTTTGGACCTTGAGAATCTCCCCTTGTTCCGCATCCTCCCAACGCTCGCTCTGCGAGGCGGCAGCATCCACGTCTTCCCACCTGTCTATAGCATTGCAGTAAACAGGGTGATGATGTCTTTTTTTAGTCTTTTTGTCCTCTTCAAATAAATACCCAGAATTTCTAGATCATATGGTAGTTCTATTTTTAACTTTCTTGAGCACTTGCACCCATTTCTACCCCGCCCACAGTGCACCAGGTCCCTGCTCTGCATCTGCACCAGGACGTGTTCTTTCTGGTCTTTTTCAGTAATAGCCATTCTGGGAGGTGTGAGGTGATGGCTCGTGGTGGTTTTGATTTGTATTTGCCCGAGGGCTAGTGATGTTTGAGCACATTTTTATGTACCTGCTGGCCACATGTATGTCTTCTCTGGAAAAAATATCCAGAGCCTCTGCCCATTTGTTTCATTTTTTTGCTTCTTTTTTTTTGCTGTTGAGTTGTATGAGTTCTTTATATATTTCAGAATACTCTTTAAAGACAGCCTTTGCAAATTATTGGACTGTTTTTCTATTTAAAATGCCAATGAAATTTTAATAGATTGTACTGGGTCTTTAGATTGTGCTTAGTAGTGTGAACATATAAATTTTCTTCAATCCATGAGCATGTAATACCTTTTCATTAATTTTTGTCTTTAATTTATTGTACTGGTGTTTTATACTTTCTAGTTTATAGGTTTTCACCTTCTTGGTTAACTTTATTCCCACATATTTTAGTCTCTGATGCCAATATAAGTGGAACTGGTTTCTTAATTTTTCTGAGAGCACATTATTTGGATATAGCAATGCAAGATTTTTATGATGATTTTGTATCCTGCAACTTTACTCAATTTGTATATTAGGTTTCATAGCGTTTGGGTGGAGTCTTTAGTTTTCTGTGTATAATATGTTATCTGTAGAAAGTGACAGTTTTACTTCCTTTCCAATGTGGGTGCCTTTTATTTCTTTTTCTTGCCTAATTGCACTATGACATTCAATACTAGGTTGAACAGAAGCAGAGAGAGTGGGCATCCTTGTCTTTAAGAAGCATCTTAGAAGAAAAGCTTTCAGATTGTCACTGTGGAGTATAGTGTTCACTGACGGTCTTTGCTGTGTTGAGGTACAAGCCCTCTATATCCACTTTGTTGAAAGTTTTTACCATAAAGATGTTCAATTTTGGCAAAGCTTTTCTGCATCTATTGAGATGACCATGATTTTTATCTTTCATTTTGTCAATGTAAAGAGCACATGGACTGGTTTGTGGATGCTGAAACATCCTTGCACGCCTGGGATAAATCCCACTTGATCATGGTGTATGAGCATCTTAGTGTATTAGTGAATTTGGTTGCTGACATTTTATTGCAAATTTTTGTATCCATGTTCATCGAGGATGTGAGTCACATCTTTAATGAACATCCCACCAAAGGGAGTGCAACGGCCTTGGGGCCAAAAGGAAACCATGACTCTACTCTCAATGACAGAGTGACAGGGTCAAAAAAAAACCCACACAGCGAATGAGCTGGAAAGCCCGCAGCAGCTCCTTTCTCCTCCCGGTGGGGAGAGGACATGTAAGGGAGGGAGATGGACATAAGGTGAAAAGACAACAGAAAACAAGAACTGATCCAGGTGGAAATGAGCTTAGCTGGGTTTGTCCTGACTGCTGGGAAATGTGAACTTGTTACTCATAATGGGCTAAGCATTTTGTGCATTTTGTCACATGTGTGTCAGGTTCTTGGAACGACGCTTTCTTTCTGAGATGGTTGCTTCCCTTTGTGAAGAAGAAGAGTTTTCTCTTCAACCCTCTGTTGTACTTCTAGCTTGTCAAGGTCATTAACAGAACATCTTGTCCCCTTGTCCCCGGTACGTAGTTTCTCGTCACACAGCCCTCGCTAAAACACGGAAGGGACAGTGCTTGACTGTGAATTGTGCAAGTAGGATGAGTGGAGACTGGCTCTGCCTTGGAGTTGTTTACCAACTCATTGATGCATGTCACCAAACTCTAGATTCTGCCCCTGTTCCTTTATTTAATCCTGTGACATTTTTCTTTCCATTTGGGAGGGAAAATACTGTCTTGCAATCCAAATTACAAACACTTCATATTTGATGGTCGACACAAAAACTATGGGGCCAGAAATAATCACATGAACACACCGGGGTTTTGCCCTTAGTTCACCCTTTGATTTTTAAAATTTGAAATTACTTGTTTTCAACATCTGAAAGGTTATTTCTGAAGAGGGTCTTCTAACGTACTGTCTAGAAACGAGATAAAATAGAGTAGTAGTAATAAGATTAACTTGTAGCTGGGCGTGGGGGCTGACTCAGGGCCTGTTAGAAGCTCTGCGGGCATTCTTCCCGCTCATGCACACACACGCGCTCGTTTACTGGCCAACTTACCAATAAGTAACGTCTCACGCATGAGGAGCTGAGTCTTTGCAGGCTGCGCTTACTTGGCGAAGATCAAAAAGTCAAGGAATGATGAGTCGGGGAGTGGGGCCTTTCGCTGTAGGTCCTGGGGGACCTCTGAAGGGCCGTGGTCCTGCCTTGGAGGGAGGGACCTCATTGTATTATTCACTGTCGCCCAGAACAGAATGGAACAAGAGGATGACATAACCAGTGCTTTATTTTAGGAAGATAAATCTGGTGAGGATGAGTGGGCTGCAAAGCCCGGGGGCATGGAGAATGGTTCAGGTGCTATTGCAGCATCACAGAATGAGCTATTACAGAATGAGAGTATGAATGAGCAGCACTCATGTGACAGCCTTTGGGAGAGTGAGTGACCAGGCCCTTGGTAAAGGTCCATTCTTGTAGCAGATTCTCCCTGAGCATCCTATGTGTGCTGCATCCATGCCGGGCGCTGCGGACAGGACAGTGGATTAGGCAGAGAAGTATTGTATTTTGTCTCATGGAATTTAAGGTTCTAATTGGGGGAATGAATCGGCTGGGCCCAGGTTCTCCAGAACCTCCACCAAGAGACTTAATAAATATCCTATTGTGTTTCTATAAATATGACATCTTTTCAAGGCATTGATTTGTCAGAGTATTGACTCAGGTGGCAAGTCGAGTCTGCAGGGCAGGAGCGATGCTGCGGCCTTGAGGCAGGATCCCTTCTTCCACAGGGCGTCCTTAGTTCTGCTCTTCAGACCTTCCAGCTGTTGGCTGAGCCCCTCCCCAGATTATTATTATTAATGTCCTCTATTTAAAATAGCAATTGATTGAATACCTGAGTACTGCGGGCTAACTATCCCATCCCACGGGTGGTGTAAGAATGACAAGTGAACAGAGAAATTTAGAATGTTAGGAAATAACTGCCAGCCTCCGTGGTTGGAGACTCGGGGAGGTGTCTTGGTGTGAATGGATGCATCTCCATTTTACAGATGAGATGACTCGGGGATATCGACCTATTTACGCTCACGACAGCCTTGCTGTCCCTGTGACTCAGCTTACGTGCAGGAAGCCAGAAGCCGGCCTCCCGGGGCAATGGAGGGACCCCCACCCCTTGTTCCCAGGAGCAGCCCCAGTTAGTGAGCAAATTCAGATCAGGAATGGGACCTGAGTGTGGGGCTTAAAGAGAGGGAGGCACGGATTGCTTTCAGAGGAGCAGCGGGTGGCTTCAGCCAGCACCAGCCCCCACCCCCAGGTGGCTTCCTTGGGTGTCTAGTCCCGAGCTTCTGTGCAAGTCAGTCATTGTGCCTGGCACATGCCCTCCCCCGTGTGGACAACGAGTAGGTGGGCCCCACATCTCGGCTCCGACGCTTCTGGGAAGCCTCCCTACCTTCCTGAACTAGGATAAATCTCCGGGTTATAAGCCCCACCGGCTCCCTGTGGCTCTTGGTGGCTTATGTCCGGCTCTCCTGCTCTACAGCCAAGGGGAAGTCAGATCTCGCTGGTGACCTGACATGGAACTTGATCGCTGGCCTCTGCCACCTGTGGGTTATGTGCACGAGTAGAGGAATGAGACACAGACCTTCCCCGCGACACGTCTTCAGTGACACATCCTGTTGCTATGCAACCTCTTCTGATCCCCCCCCTTGGCGTGCGGCTTCTTCTCGGTCCCCAGGGCAGCTTTTCCTGTGCTCTTTTCTAATGTCGGGGTAGCATGAGCCTGACGCCCCTTAGCACAAAGGGGCATGAGAACAAAGACAAAGGAAGAGAAGAGGGAGAGGGGAGAGCCTTGAGTGGGCTTGCTGCGAGCCCCTTAGGAGCCCCCCGTCCTGCCCCAGGTGGGGAATTCTGCCTGTGGTCGGCACAGAGGCTTCCGACGCCGGTGGGCCCTGGTGTCCTTCCACGCGTGGGCTCTTGGGAGCCAAGTTGAGAGAAGGTTCCTTCTGGAGGCCCCTGCACTTACCGAGTCACTCGTGGTCCCACCATGCGTCCAGAGGGCGTGACGAGGACGGGGCAGGAGTCACCCATTGGTGGGACAGGCAGAGGGTCCCGCGCAGCCGCTCCACGTCTGACCGGACAGCCAGCGCCGCCCGTGCAGTCAGCTGTCCCGCCCCTCTGCCCCTCGTGCCCCGGCGAGTGCAGCGAGCCTTGACCCTGCCCTCGTCTTCCGACTGCAGGGAAAGAAATGGCGGGTTGATGTTGATGCACAAGCAGCACCCACGGGGTCTCTGGAAGTCTGCCTGAGAGTCCTCACTTGCATTCTGTCCAGGAAATATCCGTCCCAGTGAGAAAGAAACCTGGGTTTTGACATTCTCTCCACTTTCCGAGCCTCGGACGACTCAGAGGTCAGCCCCACCAGACGGCCCCGGGGTGAGCCGGGCAGGACGGCCCCGGTGCCGGGCGCTGGAGGGCGGCGTCCGGCTCGGGCTGTGGTGGACTCTGCGCAGCTGCGCCGCTCTAAGATGTGTGGTTCTCATTGCAGGCATCTTTTCCACAAGTCCTGTGTTGACCCCTGGCTTCTAGACCACCGCACCTGCCCCATGTGCAAGATGAACATTCTTAAAGCCCTAGGGATCCCGGTAAGCACGGCGCAGCCTGCGGCATCGCTATGTCTGTCTTTCTGCATCACCCCCTCGGCAGGGAGAGCATCTCACCCCTGATTTGCTGTGTCCCCTCTAAGGAGGGCCCTGGAGCGCCCCGTCACGCTTCTCTCAAATGGAGCACGTCACCCCCTCCCCGGCCCTCTCTTGTCTGAGTGTCGATGCTGCTGCTGCGGATCCCCTCCCGGGCACTGTGAGTGCAGGGGCTCCATGGTGTCTGGGGGCCCAGGGCACGTTGTGTCCCCCCCTGGATCCATCACCCAAGGAGACCTGCAGGCCCCAGAAGCACCTGGCCCAGGTCTGGGAGGGGAGACCATCAGGGACTAGCTCAGAGCCTGTGGGGCCCCCCGGGAGCAGGACACCAGAGCCGTTGAGCTCTGGCACCGCCACCACCTGTGCCCTTAGCTGGTTTCTAACATTGAGTCTCTCCTCCCATGCCAGGAGAGCCCACGTGCTGGCCGGGCCCTCCCGGGACAGCCAGACCAGATGTGCTGAAGCCAGCCTGGGGTTAGGGGAGAGCAGGACACAGGAGTGTCTAAAAGCAGCTGGACAAAGAGCATAGGGACCTGCTGCTCCCCACCCCGCTGTCTCTCCTCCAGGCGAACATGAGAGTGTTAACAGTCTGAAGCTGTCACTGGAGGAAGGTCAGATCTCAAAGTTTCTTCAATGCCAAAGGGCGCGCCCAGGACCCACAGCAGGCTGCAGGGGGGGCACCCTGTCCTGTGCTCTCTGCTGATTTTCACGGTGGATGCACCAAGCTCACATAAACCCGGTGACTCTGGCTTTGGGCTCGCTGTTGAGAGGCGATGAATTCGGTTTTCCGACCAGAGCTGTGCATTCAGGGTGCAAATCAGTGACAGCGGGTGTGAGACATTAGCCCAAACCTCCAGCAGGTGCTGCTGATGCGCCAGGTGGGACTCTGTGCTCCCACCTGCAGGTTCTGCTGTGACTGTTCTCCGGGGGAGGGAGTGGGTGAAGGTGTGCACGCGCGTGGGGGTCTGGTCTCCGGCGTCTTTAGATCCTTGCAGCTGACTACCACGTCCTGGACCTACTGCTCAAAACACTTCCAAGGCTCTCAGCATGGACCCCGTGTGCTGGGTCAGGGCAATAAGGCCGAATGGCCTGCGCCAGCTGAATCAGGCACTGAATAGCATCGGCCGCCACGCTTTTCCCGGGGCTCTAACTTTGCCAGAAGCTACTTGCCAACCAGTTGAGGCTCCAGCTAATAACTGTTGTTTAAATATAGTTCTCGGTGGCCTTTTGTCTTATTTCCAAAACTAGTAACGTTTTGGGTGTCAGGCGTTTTGGCTGTGTCTTGACGCCTCCCAAGTCTGGGCAGCATTTTACTTAGGACAACTGAGCGCCAGGAAAGTAAAACATCGTAGCATCTTCTAGATTCTGCCAAGGATTCTTGAAGCCAGGGGACCAGGAACATGACAGGCATCGGATTCATCCCAGAGCCCCCCACCGCCCCCAGGAGGGAGGAGGCAGGTGGGCTGGTGCTTTGTGCACACCATGCCCCTCCATGCATTTCTGGCTTTGTCTTGGGGGGGTGGCGATTCTGAAGTATGGCTCTGGGAGTAACTTGGGCTGTTCTCACTCACTGCACGCTTCGCTGTTGGCCAGCATGTGCCTCCGCTGTCCCAAAGAGGTGACCTGTTGGCTCCTCTCTCTCAACTCCCCATGTCCCCAGCCAGGCCCACAGCCTTCTCACTTAGAAAATGCTTCTGTATAGCTCACTGGGGCCCTTTCCAAGCAGCTTAAACAATTTGTTGTACAATTTTCCTAAGCCCCTTGTACTCCATTTCCTAAGGCACGGTGAAAGGAGCGAGTCTTTCTCTCTGGGAAGCCGTGCTGCGGTCCTTCTGCCTCTGGCGTCTGCCAGGGGTGCCTGCGCCTCCCTCCAGAGGCTGAAGGCTGCCAGCCCTTGAGCTCCGCTCCCCCATCCTCCTCTGGCCAGCGGCCGCTCCCCAAGGACTTAGCTGTAGACCCAACCCATGAGCTTCTCCTGCACAGGGGCAAGGATTCCTGGTGTTAACTGGTTGCCCTGGTGCCTGCCTCTTGCTAAAAGGCGAGCTAGAAAGCTAGGGCTGAGGGCATTTTTGTTTCTTAGTTGATGAATGAGGGCGGAGCAGATGGGGGATATGACGTTTTTATCACAATGGAGCCCTTTACCAATGCATTTTTGGCCAAAGAGAAATAAAATACTGACCTAAAAGGCGGGGATGGGGCCTTTGGGGTCAGGCGTGTTTCCTCACTTCTGCGGTGTCACGATGCTTCCGTCTCGCTCCCGTCCCGCTGGCGTCCGTGCACCTGCCTGGACTCCCATAAGCTGCCCGGGTCTCCCAGGCCCCAGCGAACACCTCCGTCACCGGCAGGCTGCGTAGGACTGTGACTAAAAGGAAACCCACATGGCTGGGTGTTCACAAGCCCCTCACCCTGTGGCAGTGGGGAGGTTTCCCCAGACTAGCCTGGATCCCTTTATTCAAGATGGCATGTACCACGTCTTTGTAAAGAGTTGGGCTGTCATTTTCTCTTAGAGGCATATAACTTGGGTTTTTCAAAAATCTTATCCTGTTTGAATCATTTAGAGCAGAGAGAGACTGTGAGCTTGGTCTGTTAAGTATCTCTAACCCAGTTATTGTTCACACCTGCCAGCTTATTCAGCTAACTCTTTCCATCCCCCTTCAAGATGCAATGCTCTTACTAGCCCACAAAACACCCCGTATCAAAACCACTATTTTTACAGAAATAAAGGGACAAGTATTTCTGTGGCTGCCTTCAAAGGCAGGCGCCCATCTCATCAGGGGGTCTTCTCTCCCCTCATGAATGGCGCCACTTACAAGCGTCCTCGCGTCATATAGAGCAGGAAAAGAATTATTTTCCCTTCTACCCTCCTCGATTCTCTGACCCGGGGCCTGTAAATTACACTGGCTTATTTTGTTTCTGCTGGTCTTAACTGGGAGGAGGATACGTGTGTGATCCCGAAGCTGAAGGTGGGGCTGGCCAGGTGGGGTGCGGGGTGCTGTCGGGGAAGAAAAAGATTCATACCTGTGGGTCTGGGAAGGTGTGCTCCAGGGAGAAGCAGGGCAGGGCACCTGTGGGGGAGGAGCCGCAGGGGAATGGAGAGGCAGGGACAGGAGAGGAAACCTCAGCACAGCCCTCCGGCCTGTTGTGGAGGGTTGGCCCGGAGTGAAGTGGCTTGTGTCAGTGAATTGGCTTGCTGCCAGCAGAGACAGAAGGCAAAAAGCATATAGAGGGAAAGGAGTGAGCTGAGGCTGAGGGTTTAGTGGGGTGATGGGGATTTCCAACCTGACTACTTGGAGCACAGGTGGGGGCACTGGAGACAGCTGAGATCAAGACATGGGACTCCTGCTTTGTGCTCCAGCTCCATCCCCGAGGGGCAGGTTTTCTCTTTGAATGAACTTTGAGCACAATGTCTTCATCGTGGTGTGAACTCGGGATTCTCACCTGATCTTTCCCAGCCTGGTCTTCATCCTTTTTGGTGTAAAACCATTTAATGAGTGTCAAGGCAATGCTGATTTTCAGATCAGAGCAAGAAGATTAATGGCCGTGTTTAGTGTTTCTAAGACTTTCTCCAGTACCTCCCTTCTAAAACCACTTTTATTATAAGTTTGGGTACAGGGATAACAACTTTTGTGTGTGTGGAAGGCATAGAAATTTGTTCATAATCACTTCAACAGCAGAACTAAAGAGTAAAACTTGACCACTAATAGATAGAATTATGACTATTACAGAAATATTCTAATGGCATGACAACCATGCTTGGCCACGGGGCTACCTCTCAAAGCAGAGTGTTCCCAGTTCTGTCGTGGTGCTGCTAGGATATTGGGGGTTCTGTAATGAGTAGGTTATTAAACTAGGTGGTCCCCCACTTTTATGAGTGTAAGAGATTAACTTATTGAATTTACTGTACAATCAGCTGCATTTTACGTAAATAGGGCTTTTTCTACAGCAGGTTTTGGCTTATTTTTAACAAGTAGCCTCAGCCCTGTGGTGAGCCTCACTAATGAGCCATTCAAATGAGGCAGGCCCAGCCTCCTCCTATCTCTTGTCAGTATATCTGCAAACAACGCCTGGGGCTAGTTAGCAGTCTGTCAGCTACTTCCTACATAAGAACAGATACTATGAGAAGGAAGGGCTATCATTACAAATAAATATCATATTGTCCCCTAAGTAGTTATGTCAATGGATTCCACTGCTACTCCTGGAATTAAAACTTTATGTAGATACTCATCTAGCAGAACCATTGGAAAGGGAACTTTGAAAGCTGTTTCTGTACTAACTACAAAAACTATGCATGGAATATTTTTAAAGAAAATGATTCAGGAAGTAGCCTATAGCCATTTCACCTTGAATGTGAGGACCTGCCAATGTGGTCACACACCTCCTTTCCTCCTCCCGTCAGCCCAATGCCGACTGCATGGACGACCTGCCCACCGACTTTGAGGGCTCCCTGGGAGGTCCACCGACCAACCAGATCACAGGCGCCAGCGACACCACCGTGAATGAGAGTTCAGTCACCTTGGACCCTGCCGTCCGGACTGTGGGTGCCTTGCAGGTTGTCCAGGACACAGACCCAGCTCCTCAGGAGGGAGACGCCATCTTCACTGCTAACAGTAAGTGCTGCTGTGTTGGCCATGGCGTTGCCAGAAGGGCTGTTACCTGGGGGGGCTGAAGAAACACTTTTGTCAAGCAGTGCATAGGCCGTGACCAGGCTAAACTGCCAGACCCCTAGCGCTTTGTAGAGGTGGGGGGTGTGGGTAATGGAGGGACAGTCAGCAGGCCTGGCTCTGTCTTCCTGCCACACCCCAGGGTGCCTGAGGCTGGTGCATCTGGCCAGGGAGCAGCCGGGGATTGAACTGGCGCTGCAGAGGCTGCGGGCAGCTTTGCAAGCCAGCGCTCAACCGCTGCGCCACCGGGGAGGCCCACCTTATGGGTATTTCACATGCAGCCTCAGTACTTGCGCACACCATGCCAGCGCCCTATCTTGTGGGTGTTTCTGCCCCCTCTCCTGCATGGGCTGTAAATACCATTCTGTTTGATAGAAGGTGTAAAAATATCAAAATAGCTGCATTAGCATCACAATCTCAAGTACCTACTACTCTTCAGTCAAATACAGCCAGGATGAAAGTTTCAGGAGCTGAGAAAATCAATATGCAAATTAACTTACCTTTAAGGGTGAGAGGGTTGGGGGATGTTGCAATTTTCAAAGTGTTTCTTCTCCCCCTGCTAGAAGCAACCTGTGTGCCATAAAAATGTGGAAATACAGAAAAGCAGATTAAAGCATTTTGGGACATTGCTTTATATATATATATTTGTGATTTGCATAGAATTTATAAAATCATAGTGATTTAAGTACATACCTCATTGAAAGATGAAAAAAAGAATGCAAAAATCACTCAGTTACCCCAACTATGGGGAAATCATAATATTTTGGTGTTTTTCCTGATAATCTTTGGAAACAAAGCCATGGGGGTTGAACTTTTAGTATTGTAATCTGCAGCCTACACAAAAAGTAACTTGAGGCACTACGGCAAAAATCCACCCACGTACAGTTGGAGATAGTAGTTTGGAGATAGGTAAGAGCTTTAACTTTGAAACCTTAAAGCTTAGAGGCACATGAGCCTCAGCACTGAAACACTGACCATTACACAACAGAAAGTTTTTAAAGGAGATTCCAATCCCTTTGTGTTAAAGGTCTAGAGTGATGCTGTCCAGTATTAACATACGTAATTAAAATTTTCTATGGCCATGCTAAAATAGTTAATGGGTGGAGTTTATATTAATATGTCTTATTTAATGCAGAATATTTCACAGTCCAAAATCTGGTGTATAGTGTGCACTCACCACTCCTCTCAAGACGGGCCAGCCCCGCTTCCATTGCTCAGGAGCCACATGTGGCTGCCGTGCTGGAGAACACGGACACAGAAGCCTGCCAATTTAGGGGTCAGAAAAGCACTTAAATCTTCGTCATGACAACAACCCTCTCATTTTGACCAAATTGTGGCTGACTCAAGTTAAGCAATAGATTCTCTTTTCAGAGAAAGATTGTCCCATAATTTCTCCATTTAATGGGTAGCTTCAGTTAGCCTCAATATATCACCATAGTAGGCAAGTGGAGTGTCAGAGGCCTGCTCAAGTTCTGCTAGCAGTTCCAAATACTGCATCCTTAAACTTTTTTGAGCCCTTAAGAAGAGCTAAATCAAAACTGGATCATTTTCCTGGCTATACAATGATTATTTGAGTTTTAAGAGAAAATGCGTCACTTGTCAGATTCCTTATTTTGCAGAGAGGCCACATCCTCCATACACTTTAGTGACGCCCAGGGGACATATAAGAAGGCACAGATGGTAGGTTAAAACAAATCTAAAGATGAAATAGAAAATGATGGTCTATGTCCACATCATTCTTAGTCCCACTGGGTTTTGCTGAGTGTTTCTAACATAGAGGCAGCTGGTAGATGTGTTTTGAATGAGTCGAGAGGACTTGACCTAAGCTTGAAGCAGGGGCCTCTGTTCACAACAAGATCAAGTGCAGCTGATTTCAAAGGAGAGCATTTGGTAAAACCGAGATACAACAGGAGACACCTCACTGTAGTCGAAGACAGACGGGGGATATCAATGTGGCTAGAGATAGCCATCTTAGCACAGAAACGGGATTTTTCTGACAGGATCTTTTTCCTAGACCATTGGTTTCCGACTAGCTGTTCATGGTTTATACCATTCACCAAATGGCTGTAGATTCCTGGCAGGGAAATTCTCTTCTCTGTACAGGCTGGTAAATTGCCTAGTGTTCTAGTCAAATAAATAACTAATATACAAACATAAACGCATGACTAAATGAGGACAAAGATTCATTCTCATCAACATTACTGCAGCCAGCTCACTAATGGTGTCTAAAAATAACATGGAGGAAAAAGTGTAGTTGGATGCAGGAATGCTGCAAGTCACAGTAACTCAGTGGAGGTTGGAACGCACATGTCTGCAGACCCAGGAAATTACTAGAAAATGAGGAATATCAACTAGCAAATACATAGCACCACCTGTGCACTGGGCACCCTCGGAAATACCAGCTTACAACAACCCTGCGAACTTACAGTACAATACGATACAACAACCCTATGATGTCAGTAACATTACCTTCCTCTTACTGATGCAGGGATAAAGGCACAGAGATTAATGCAGTGACCCCGGTCACAGGCTAGTGAGCCCCTCCAGCTCCACAGTGCCCAGAGGACGACCAAGGGGACAGATGGCCAGTGTTGCTCAATCCCTTCTCCTTTATTCTCTTCCTCCCTGTATCTAAATTACTGAAAAATCTAAAAGGTTGGGCTCCTCCTTGCATTCTCATCCCTACCTGTTCCTCTCCTGGGGTCCTTCGAGTCCACACAGAAGCCACTTCAGCTCTAAAGGGGAGAGCGGAGAGCAGGCTGCCTTTAGGGAGACAGTGGGAGAGCCGGCATTAAAGATCCTTTTCCCAGCAAAAGGAAAAGCATTTACAAAGCCAAGGCAATCTGGACGTGTGGCCAGTCTGACATTTGGAGAGGGGCGCCCGTGTGCAGGCCTGAGGTGTCCCCGACACTCCGATGGGAAGCCCCCACCCCATGTCTCCCTCACTCCCACCCAGGCCCCTCTTTACCTGCATGCCTGGTGCCCGGGAACAGCTTTGCCTTCTGAATTCCCAGCCCAGACAGCAGACTGTGGAATTTGCTTCAGCAGGAAAAACATTCCTTCGACCCAAAGGAAAACACAGCTAAACCAACAGCTCTGTGGTCCTGCAGCCTCCAGGCAGGAGCTAGAGAAAGACACAGAGGACAAGGCTACCGCCCTCCCCAAACACCAGCGCCTTCATGTGTCCTCTGAGGGCCCTCAGAGCTGCCCACCGGAGCTGCGGCCCCACCGGGTCTAGCACAGCCGCCAGCTCAGCCCCGCTTGCCATCCTTCCTCAAGCTGCAAGGAGTCAGCAGACCCCCCGGGGGTGGGGAGCTGGAGGCACGTGCAGGGGACAGAATCAAGATGGCAAAGGCAGGAAGCTGCCCACCTGCCACGGGAGCACCGGGAGCCGCCCACGTCCTCAGCTCGGCTCCACAGGACACTGCTGGTCCATGTTCCACCAGCCCGACTGCTGAGGTGTGTTCAGGGGTCCGTGTTGCTGCAGCCACTTTAGACACACTGAGCGTCTACAGGACCCCTGGCCCTGTGTGAAGATCCCTGCATGCCCAGAGTTTTCTACTCTGAGGCAATTGACAGTCCTGACAGTCTCCTCCTTAGGTCCAAGTACAAAGGGTAGCTTTCCCTGACGGCTTTTCCTTTGTGATGCCTGTGAGTCAGGACAGAGGGGTGTCTCCTGCTTACTCACAGGCCTCCTGCTGCCCTCCGTCTGCTGAGGTCCCCTCAGGCCCCAGGAGGTCCCTTGAGGCCATCGTGAACCCAGTGCTGCTCACCCTCCCACGTCGCCTCTCCCTCGCAGCAGCTGTCTCCCACCCCAGCCCACTCAGCCTTCTCCCTGCAGACCCCAGCCAGGCAGAGGCGAAGGCCCCAGTCAGCTCCAGCTTGAGCCAGTTTCTGAGTCGCACCTCCAGGGGACATGATTCAGAGTCTGTTGGGGGCCCTCATCACTGGGTGTGGCAGTGCCCCCCCTTCGATCTTACTCAGCATGGAACTGCCTCTGCAGACTGTTTCCCAGGTCCCGGCCTTCCTCACCTCCACTCTCTCCTGTTTATGTCTCTGAGTGGTTAGTGAGGTCAGAGTCACAACTGACAGCAGAACACAGGCCCAGGGACGGGGCCCAGGGAGGCCGCCTCACATGCTTTGCCGTCCACAACTCTTCTGTGGGCAGAGGCAGGAATGTCCCAGCAGAGAATTCATCCTGGAGAGATGCATCCTGAACAACTTGCTGGTCGCCTTAGCTGCCGTCGCTTCTGGAAGAACCTGGAGAGAGGTCAGCCTTCAGTGGGGGGAAATACATGCTTCAGAAAGCTCTGCTGGGACAGAAATAATTGTCAAAGCACAGCCAAAACTGCAGCCCAGAAACCACTCATGTTAGGAGAAAAATAAGTCACTAACAGCCTGCACCGCCATCACCAAGCACTCCCCGGGGACACACACTCCATGCTAATTATGGAAGAAACTTCCAGACTCTTCATTCAGAGACTGGGTGTCGTCTCTGGGATGATTCACTCTGTCATCTGAGGGACTCGATATAGACCTCTCGGGGGATGCGCCGTTCCTACAGGCACAGGCTCTGAAAACGAGGCCAGAAATGACATTCACGCTGCTTTGTTCTAAGTTTGGATTGGCTATTTTGGGAGCAGTGATGAGGCTTGCAGAACACACACAAGGTGTAACAGCCCCTCAGCTCGCTTTGACCACTGCCCAAACATGAACAAGACAAAGGGGGGGTGGGGCTGGGGCTCTCCTGGGGCCCAGTGTGGACCTCTAGGGTTGATGTGGAATGACAGAGGACAGGAGGGCTGGCACAAACAGCCGATTTCTGCTTCCAGACTTGCTGCTGCAGGGACAAGTAGCAATGTCAAGGTTTGGGGTGACTGCAAAATATTTGGGTGCATCCAGAAATAAGCATGTCTAGATATGGCTTTCCAGGGTTTATAAGGCAGGACCAAGGCAGTGGCCACGTCTGCCTTCTCCACTTGCATCAAAGCTGTGAATGGCACAGCAGCTCCCCTTGACTGCCAATAAGTCTGCTGGCTGGAGCCTGTGATGGAAACTGTCTCCCTCGGTGCCCGTAAGAGTCACGTTAGCCCTGGAAAGATGCTGCTTGGTTTGTGAGGCTCTCCTCTGTGGCAGACAACAGAATCAGGCAACTGTTTAAGAAGTGGGTGAACCACCTTCAGCTCCTTCTGTCGGAAGTGCAATCGCTGCAGAGCATGCCACTGCTCCCCACAGTCGTCTCCATGTGTCCACTGCCCTCTCCCACCCAGGACCCGTCGCCTGTGAGCAGCGCCCCCCACCCACCATGCACTCAATCCTAGGGCCGCATCCGCAGATATGAATGGAGAGCAAGGATAGCGAGACATTTGTGGAAATCACCTAATTAGAGACTGAAACATTTTTGTAAACTCCAAGGAAACCAGGATAATTCAGCACACAGAATTCTCTAAATATCATTTGTATCCTTGCAGAGAAATAAGACAATAATACACTCATGAGCTAGAAACAGGAATTTTCAGAGGTTGAGCAAGAGCTCTTGGAAATTAACAACTACAGCAGAGTGAAGATCCCCACAGATCAGGGATTAACATTCAAGACATACTCAAAAAACTCATAGAATTCAACAATTAAAAGAAAAAAACAATAAATGGGCAGCAGGTGTGAACAATTCACCAAAGAGGAAGGCCAAAAGACACGGAAAAATGTTCACCATCACCTCTCATAAGAGATGCAGATGAAAGCCACAGTGACAGAACACTGCTTACCTGTGAGAATGGCTCGTGTTAAAAATGCCCCCAACAGGTGTTGGCGAGGATGCAGACAAAGAGGAACGCTTTACACTGTTGGTGGAAACGGCAACTGACACAATCATCATGAAAGCCATCTGGATGGGCCTTTCAGAACTAAAAGTGGAAATGCTGTATGATCTGGCAACCCCATTCTTGGGCAAATGGACACAGAATATGAAACCGTCCATCAGAAAACTCATCCCACGGTTCTCACAGCAGCTTTATTTCCCACCGCTGGAACATGGACGTGGTCTAAATGGCCATCGACAGATGCTTGGATCACGCAGATGTGGTACGTGCACGCGATGGAATAGTACACAGCCATAAGAAATGCAGCTGTTGTCAACAAAATGTAGGGAATTTTATGCAGCAAAGTAAGACAATGATAAAAATACTGGACATTTACATAGAAGAAATTTGATAAAACACTTTCAAAAACTAGTGGCTCTGAGGTTGAGGGGGAAAGACAAGTGGGCACAGGGGATGGGGAAGGAGAAAAATCCCCGTAGAATGATTAAAAGATTAAGATAAAATACTATTTGTCTTGTTCTGGTGTGAACTCGAAATGACAAAAACATTTTCTATCAAATTAAGTTTGAAAAATAGGGAAAAACAGGCAAGCGACGTGTCTGAAAAACCCGCTTGTTCACCACCGCTCGCTGCAGCAGCCTCCCCCGCCCACGCGTGCTTTCTGCTGCAGTCAAGTGTGTGGCGACAGCACACTTGGTTCAGAAAATGTGTAAGGCACCAAACTTTTATGAGAGTTCCCCCCTGCATGCTGCGTTTGTATTGTATTTACAGTACGCGCGTGCGTGGGTGTGTTTGCAGTCTTAGTGCTTTCAGTTTTTACAGTAAAATCACTTCCCCGCGCTCAAGCCAATCCTGGGCATCACAATATATCCCTTCCACTCTGTCGCCTTCAGAGTCAAACGATTCCCTCATGTATCATCATTGCCTTTTCAGCATCCCCGGGCAGTAGCTCTGCCACCGCCATAGCCAAGACCCTGTCCTCTCTGACCTTGAGTTTTGCCCCAGCTGCCATTTCACTCTCCCTGAATCTGGTCTTAGCCGTCCTGATCAATCTACTGAAATCTGATCAGGTCACTGTTTTGCTCAAAACATTGTTTCCACGGATGGGTTGAAATTGTGAGCTGGCTCATCTAACCAAGTCATTAGCATTTGGCCTCTGCCTCTCTCACTGCTGTCCCCCGCCAGGCTGGCTCTTAGCATGCAGGCATTTCTGAGCCCCTGTGGTTCCAAAGCCTCCCCACCCCCCTGCTGCTTCCCCTGCCTGTCGCGCGTCCTCCAGACAGGTCCTCGCTGTGTATCCTGAGCATCAATCTCTGCTGCTCCTTCTATAATCAGTTCCTTTCAGACAGTTCCCTCTGCTATGATTTCTTAAGAAAGCATCTATTGGGCCTCCCTGGTGGCGCAGGGGTTAAGACTCAGTGCTTTTCAAGCTATTGCCAGCCACTGCGGCGTGAGCCATCCCGGCCAGGGAGCTACTCACATGGCGCGGCAGACCTCTCCTGTCTCCTGCTGCTCCCCACTCTGTCTCTGGTGAATCCTCTCACCCCCTCACCTCTGACCTACACCCCAGTTCTTATGTGCATAAATAAATAAAAAATCTTTAAAAAAAAAAAAAAGCATCTGTCACCCAGTAAATATATAAAGGTACAGCCTGCGATGGCACACTTGGTGTCAGATGTCCTTAAAGAGTTCCCACTGTGACTTTTCACCTTCACGTTACAGAAGCCAGCGGCGGGTGGCACTGACTCGGTGTCAGTTGACTAAATGAGCAACGTGCTGAATTTTAAATTTTAAAATTTTAAAGAAAGTGAACAGCAGCAACATCTAGAAGGTGCAACATACACTTGCATTTTGTCTGCTAGTGGAAAGAGTAACCTGTGTGTGCACACAGTCTCCCCAGGACAGATGTCCAAGCAGGAGCTGAGGCTCCAGCGGATGGAAGAGCCTCCCCAGAGCCTCTAGGACAATAGCACGGCCTCGCCCCATTTGAGGAGGTCCCCAGTAGCAGGGAGGGAGCAGGACTGTGCCTTGTAGAAGTGTATCGGTGGTTTATTATTTCTCACCACTGAGGCTGTGTCACGGAGCAGCCATGGGGCTAGAGGCTGCGCAGGGAGCGGAGGGGGAGTGGCAGCGAGGGCAAGCCTCGGGGAAGGGCTCGGCCAGCCCCGGCGTCCATTCTGCAATGCCCTGGCGTCGTCCCCAAACCGAGCCCAGACGCCACGCATTTTTGTTTCAGTCCATTGATGCTATTATCTGTGTGAGCCACGAGGAGCAAAGCTGACCCTCCCAGAGATAAGGGGAAGCCACGAGACCTTGGCATTGGACAGAGCTGGGCTCAGGTCCTGGCCTGCCCTCTGCCTCAGCAGCTGTGATCGACCCACAGACCCTCATGGGCCTCCTTTCCCTCGTCCTGAGAACTGTCCAGATGGAAGCCACAGGGGGGCCGTGAGGGGAGGTGCATGGACACCTGTGCAGCTGCCGGGTCAGAGCCCAGCCTCGGGGAGTCACCATGTCGCCCCTGCTGGCCACGCACTGCACCCCTCCCTCGTGAACACACGCGTGACGCACATGCTTATATAACTGGTATCACTGAAACGTCTTGATTTTATAAAAGTACCTACAAAGAGCCTTTGTCAGGTGGAGCCCAAGACCCATTAGCTCTAGGTTGAGTCCAAAACCATTTGCCCGGCATGAACTGGGGCTGCCTTCCTTGGCTTCAGTTACCAGGACCACGTCACTTCCTGAGCCGGAACTGTGTGCACGTGTTACTTCACCTTGTCCGTGATCATGTCAGTGCTACTGTTATCCACTGCCATCTTTATTACTATGATCTCATGTAAAATGGCGACTGTCCTGATAGCCCTGCTTGTAGAGAGGCCACTTGGGTCCAGGTCATCACTGGCCAGCCCGCGAGCCGTCCACAGCTGCTAATGCCGTCTTCACGCCTCCCTGCCCCTGGCTCTGTTTGGCTCTACTTGACACACAGCCGCCCAGCCAAGTCTCAAGTCTCAGTGCTTTCCATATAAAGACCTCCCAGACAGATGATTTGTGATTTCACATTTGCTAAAGCTTGCTGTCCTCTCTGTGTTTGTAAGACAAACCCCAAGAGACAGCTTGAAGCAAAAATTTGCAAAATACCCATTGATATAAACCTTCAAGTTTGCAGCAAATGGGTCCCACACAACCACCAGGTGATGCTTGAAAATGCAGAAGGACAGAACTCACCAGCTTCTTCTCCAGGGGTCCTCGTTGTACTCCCCCCCTCCCTTTAGGGAGAAAATTGTAGAAATCTTCTGGAGGAAAGAAGGTAGATTGTGGTAAGTGATCTAGCCAGACTCCGGTCGCAGCCCCAGGACACCCCTGTGGTGGTATCATGGTCACACGCCCCTGGTCTGGATGAGTGTGGGAATGCCAGGAGGTGGGGCGACTGTCCCTCCTCACGCTTCACCAGGACACAGGGGCAAGGTGAGCCAGCATCCCTGCACACCCCACCCTTTGGCAGTCAACGCCAGCGTGTGCTCATGCAGCTGGCTTCTGTGCAGGTGCACACATTTGCACATCGCATGAGTGTGCACAGATGTTCATGCCTGTGCATGTGTGTGCACACACACCACCAGTCCCCAGGGGTCCAGCTCACCATCCACATCCACCAGGAATTACAGCACTAGGATGCACAGGAATCATCCTAGGCAGAGCCAGCAGGTGCATTTGTGGCTCACGTGACAACTGCTGCTGCTGACTGTGGTCCTATGGCTGCTTTGGCCCTGGCAGTGCTTGTTGTGTTCAGCTGATCGCCAACACCTGCACATGACGGGATTTTACATGCAAATCTGAACTTAGCTGAAAATGCTGGAAATGGCAGCAAGCTGGGCCTCTTCCCTGGCGGTGAAAACTGACCAGACCTGGGAGCAG